TATGTGCCACTGAATTGACCAAGAATCCGCAATGAAGTCCGTAAACAAACCGAAATATGTTAGCAATGACTGCATTAATAAAGCTTTCATCCCATAAAAGCATTGGTACGACCACGGGCATTACCATGCCAATTAGTAATGTCTAGGGATATATGAATACTTTATAAAATATTTATTACAATCAGTACAAAGCACATTTGCTTATACTGTATTAAATACAACAAACATATTAAATAATAAATTTAAGTTATTAATAATAGCTAATTTTTAAATAATTTAATAACTCTAAACTACAACTTACTAGTTAGTTTATTTATGATATAAATACTGCACAACATTATGTTACGATTAACTTTAGTTAATGATAAAATGGTAGCATACCAAAATGGCAATGTGTTTTCTTTGAAACATGACAATTGGATCATTTCTAAGGTCAGTCAGGTCAATCTGTTTGCTTTTCTCAATGAGCTCCGGGTGTTTGTGGTAAAATAGCCAACTTATGTGTGAGAATAGGAATCCCCGTTTGGAGTTGTGTGGATCGGCGTCCGTTTCCGAGTACTTGTGATGCATTCGGTGGTCACGACTCCAGTGAAAAATACTTCTTTGCATAGCTATGGTCTGGAATATCATAAGTACTGTCTCTACAGACCAGTGGGCTTTGTACGAGCGATGGGTCCACAGCCGGTGGGCGCCCATCAGTATTCCCAAACCGGCCGCGACGGCCATGGCGTACGTCCAGATGTAAGTCATGGGACGCATACTTCTGAGACAATAAAACCATCCGCAGATTCCTATGATATGTGCTAACGTTAACACTATAAGGGGCGACCACTCTAGCCTTTGCCTATATTTAGTTTTATCTTTTTCTATACTTTCCATTTATCTACTAATAATAAACTGATGTACAGTATTAAGAAATTGTTTAATTATATTAATATAATTATTCAAATATCAGTATTCAAATTAAACAAATAGTATTCAAAGTTAACGCATTCATATAATAAATTAATATGTAGAGCAAATGAGTTTATGTTATTTATACAAGAAGTTAAGTTGTAATAAATTAAACAAACTTGAATATTTTACTATATAAAAATTATAAGTTTACTAATTTTATTTCATAACAAAAATAAAATATCAAAATCACTTTATTTTAGAAATTTTAAAAATTTATTAAGTTTTCCTTTTAAATTAATTATCAAATATTGATATATTAATAAAACACCACATTGTCTATTTTATTTGTCAATGAACTCTGTTTTAATAATAATTGATTATTATCTCAAATTGTAGTTAAAATATTTTACTGATCATATCCTTTCAAAAAATAATTTCTAACTAAAGTTAAAATTAATTCAATGAACTCTCACATCCTTTGTAATTATATCATTTGATGTGATTTTCTTATATATAATTTTTTCAAAATTCATTATTACATCTCAGAGTTACTATACTATAATCAATATCTAAAATCTGGATTCATAAAGTTTTCAAAAGTCATCATGGACTCATTCTATGAATTTGAACAAAATTTCAACACAACAAAGTCTCACCAATGGATGGCCGATAACTGGCACAACTCGGTCTACCTGTCCATCGTCTACATATGTCTGATATCGGTCACTAAGTTTCAAATGCAAAACAGAAAGGCATTTGAAATAAACAGATATCTATTCGCATGGAATGCTGTGTTGACTATATTCTCAACCATTGGTACCATTAGGTAAGCGCTCAAAATAATTACAGTCGTATATATAATATAACTATTATAATACGTAAACTAATATATTTAATCATTCATAACAATAGAGCCATAGCTGAGGTGAGGTACGTATTGGCAAATCACGGTATGGTAGCCTCGGTATGCAGTCAAGCCTATCATACACGGGGCTCAGGCCTATGGGCACTCCTATTCTCATTATCCAAAGTATTAGAATTATTGGACACAATGTTTTTGGTGTTGCGAAAAAAGCCGGTCATATTCCTGCACTGGTACCACCACGTGACCGTGCTCATGTTTTGCTGGTACTCGTACTCGCTCAATGCCAGCACCGGACGATGGTTCACCCTGGTCAACTATACCATACACTCATTTATGTACGCCTATTACGCCGCGCAGGCCATAGGCGTGAGAGTGCCCTCAAAACTATCGAAAACCATAACAATCGCACAGATATTTCAAATGGTTTTCGGGGTTTTCATAAATTTGGTTTCACTGGTACTGAGGGCTACCACTCATAAGAGTTGTGGCGTTCAGTATCAATACACTGCCGTTAGTCTGACACTGTATTCAACATATTTTTATTTGTTTCACCAATTCTTTAAAAACAGATACAATAAAACTAAAGCCATTAAACAGAAATAGAAATTAAACATCGAATTCATTCATATTTATATAATTATTTACTTGAACTTGTATGAAACAAAATTGTAAAACAAATATTAAAAATAAAACAAATCTCAAAACAAGTAAATCTAATAATTATAATAAAATAATTTGAAAAACACGTGAATAAAAATAACATATCCTGAAAATGCCTGAACTCTGTACAGTACAATCCCTAATCAAATTATCAATGTAATTTTTTGGCATTGTCTTTAATAACATTGGTACAACCACTGGGATTGTCTATATAGTGGAACTACTTTAATATTTTTAAAAAAACCTAGTTCCTGAACAAATTATTCAAGACTCATGTATTTTGTATAAATAATAATATATTTTTATTTATTTTATATATTAATTAATGTATAAAATAATACAAATTACATAGATTTATAAATACAAAATACATTTAAAATTATCTTTAAGCTTGTGAATAGACTACGATAATTGTATTCAATAGAGTTAATGTAAACTTATTTGTTAAATTTGTTAAACTTATATAAAACTATCAATAATATACAGTGATATACAGTATAAGCAAACAGATAAACAGGTCAATCGTATACAAACCTTGTATTATAAAGGTTAATTATTGCGAAATTTAATAAACACGCGAATACAAGTAACAAACCCAGAAAAAACTTGAGTTATATACAGTCCCAATGACATAATCAAAATAGTTTGTTTGCTTATTCTCTACCTGTAACTCCTTATCCAAACTAACCATGCTCTTTTTCTTATGTACGTAACTTTTCGGGGCTAGTTTTAGATCGTATACCAAATTCATTTTCTCGAGTATAGCCAATATAAGACTCGTTATATTGAAATTATATCTCCAGTCGTATTCCGCTGTATTTGAATCGTATGGAAATCTATACCATAAAAATGGTTCACATAAAACCATATATTCAATTGGAAAGGGCTTACGTGTGATGAAAGTTATGGTACCCCTCCCCAAACGTTAAATATATGGCTGCATTACTCTCCCGGGGCTCTATTATTTCATCGTATGGTCTAAAGTGAGGTTATATTTATTATAGATACAACTCAATTGAATATTAATTGTTTTCGGACCTTAATCCATGCATATGTGCCACAGAATTGACCAAAAATGTGGTGTGAAGTGCAAACAGATATCGAAATGTATTGGCAATGAATGCATTGATGAAACTCTCGTCCCATAAAACCATTGGCACGACCACTGGGATTATGATTGCAATGAGTACTGACTGTAATGACGAATAATATTATAGTTATGACATCTAATTACAATTTCTAGTGATAAAAGTGATTACACGAATCGTTATGTTAAAATTAATGATTTATAATTGTTGTACAGTATATTAAATTCTACAAATGATATCATACCAAAACGATAATGTGTTTCCTTTGAAACATAACCACCGGGTCACTGGTAAGGTCAGTCAGGTCAATCTGTTTGCTTTTTTCAATGAGCTCCGGGTGTTTGTGATAGACCAGCCAACCTATGTGTGCGAATAGAAATCCCCGTTTGGAGTTGTGTGGGTCGGCGTCTGTTTCCGAGTACTTGTGATGCATTCGGTGGTCACGACTCCAGAAGAATACACTCCTTTGCATAGCAATGGTTTGCATTAACATAAACACTATCTTTACAGAGGAATGGGCTTTGAATGAACGGTGAGTCCATAGCCGGTGGGCACCCAATGCTATTCCCAAATCGGATAAGGCGTACAACACATACGTCCAGATGTAGGTCTTGTGGTGGAAACTTCTGAGTTGACAAAACCAGCCATAGATGCCTATAATGTGTACCAATAGTAACACTATTAGTGGCGACCAAACAATCCTTTGCTTGTAAGTGGGTTTGTCTTCAGATATTGTGTTCATTTTATTTTCTAAAATACAAAACTGGTTATCAAATTAAATGTTTGTTTAATGTCAAGTAAACTACAAATAATTATCTGAAAGTCCTACAGTAGTATCATAAACGTATTGTGATATTCGGATAGTACTACTATTAGTGATTTATTTTAAGAGCTTTTAATTTTTTTCTTATATAGTTAATATTAATGTAATTATTCACAAGTAGATGTTGGACTATGGAAAAATTATTAAATGAATAACTTATAATAACAATCAACATTAATAATATACTGTAATCAATAACTTTTAGTGTATTAAGTGTGCGTGAAATTCATGTAAGACTAATTTTAAAATAAGTTATAACATGATATTTTCATAATAATTAATAATTCAGGACTTAAAATTTTAAAAGATGTTTACCATTAAACCGAGATTATATAATTATAAGTTATTATTAAAGGCATTTCCTTTTATTTTGCATAGACCTCAAAACACATCAATTAATAAGATATATTAATATTTAATGTGAAATTTAAATACAATTACAATAGCTTTATAATTTTCTAAAAACACGTGCATAAAAATAACTCATCCTGTTTGAATTAAATACATTACTAAACGTAACTTTATTAAAGCAATATAGGTATAATACCCTGCTGTATTTAAACTGACCTTTTCAGTCACTGCCCACATTCATATACTAAACATCCAACAAATCTCAAAGACTTTAATTGAATTTATAATGATTTATGTTTTTGTGTTATAAAGTAAATATCTATTTTGATAACATTTATATTACAATTAAAACCATAACTGTTGGTACTCACTAGCTTTAAAATCTTAATAAGAAATACGATCTAGACTAGTTAGCACTTGAGAGTATGTAAGGATGAAAACATTTCAATTTTTATAAACTGTAAATATAAAATAAGCTTTAATATACACACTTTAAATAGAGTTTAGAATAATAATTGGTTATTAATCATTAACAGAAAATTATAATAAAGTATTTGAGACAAAAATAATAGTATTAAATAGTAGGCAGTCTTTGATTTGATATTTGATTACTGTATAAAGAATAATGATTTTTATGAAAACTGTAAATTTTCAATACCCATATTTTTACCTTTATCTTTAAACAGCAAATAATATTATTGTACAAAATGTTTATTCTCTGTAAGATTCTGCCCTGGACCCTCCCCTCTGGTCATCACTGTTTTATACTTTATTTATACATAAATTTAATTATTATTCGGTCGCTCACAACGTTTATAAATAATTAACTATTTGCATACTATTCAAATGAAAAATGATTGATAGGCTCATGGACCACAAACTGATTATATTAATGGTTAAAATAATCCATCAACTAACTTTAATTGTTCAATTGTTTAACTGTTAATGTTCAATTAACTTAAACAAATTAAAATTATAAATTCAAAATAACGTTCAAAAATTAATATTATTATTTAAACTATATTTTTGTGACAAGCACAACAGTTTAATCAAATATATTTTAGATCTCTTAGTTAATAGTTTAAAAAACTTCAAATCTTGATCATTACAATTATAAAGACATGAATTTACTTCTGGAATATGAGCGCAATTTTGATTATATAAAAGCTAGAAAGTGGATGGCGGACAACTGGCACATCTCAATCTACCTGTCCATTGCATACGTATGTGTGTTATTATTACTTAAGTCTCAAATGCAAAACAGAAGAGCATTTCAAATAAACAAACTATTATTTGTATGGAATTTATTATTGTCTATATTCTCAACCATTGGGTCAATCAGGTAATCACTATTAGAAACATTAAAAATTATAAAAAATATTGCAAATTATATGCCTGTATGTATAGTACTGTATTCATATTTAATATGAAATTTTATTAAATCTAAGAGCCATTCAAGAAGTTGGTTATGTGATGAAAAATGACGGTATTATAGCTTCAGTGTGTCATCAAAACAATTATACAGTCGGCGCTGGACTTTGGGCCATCCTATTTGCATTGTCTAAAGTGCTGGAATTATTTGACACAATATTTTTGGTGTTGCGGAAAAAGCCGGTCATATTTCTGCACTGGTACCACCACGTGACCGTGCTCATGTTATGCTGGTACGCGTACACACAAAATTCCAGCACCGGAAAATGGTTCACCTTGGTCAACTACTCTATACACTCGTTTATGTACGCTTATTATGCCGTACAGTCCATAGGCCTGAGAGTGCCCTCAACACTGTCTAAAGCTATAACAATGGCACAGATATTTCAAATGGTTTTCGGAGTTTTCATTAATTTGTTTTCACTTTTATATAAGTATTTTGATAATGATTNTACACTCGTTTATGTACGCTTATTATGCCGTACAGTCCATAGGCCTGAGAGTGCCCTCAACACTGTCTAAAGCTATAACAATGGCACAGATATTTCAAATGGTTTTCGGAGTTTTCATTAATTTGTTTTCACTTTTATATAAGTATTTTGATAATGATTGTGATGTTAGCTATCAATTCATTGGCGCTTCCCTTGCTTTGTATGCAACATATTTTTATTTGTTTTATTTATTCTATACGAATAGATACAATAAGAGAATAATTAATAAACAAGAATAATTACTCAACAGTCAGCTTTATTATTTTTTAACGAGTAATTTATTAATAATTTTTTTACTAAAATTAAAAATTAAATACTGTATACTGTAATTAATATTTTTTATTTAAGTAAACATAATAATTATAAGTATAAATTTATATAAATTATCAAGAATAGATAATAGAATAGATCGATTAATTTTCTACACTTTGATAATTATTTCAAATATCAGTGATAATATGTTAAAGGTTTTTCAAATTATTCCTATAAATAAAGACATGGCAGTGTCTGAAAAATAGTTTTATATATAAATTTGTATTATAAAAATAGTATTATATAATATAGTAAAATAGTATTTGTAGTATTTTATATATTGATATAAATTTGAAATTTCAAAACATTTCAATATCTTTATTTATTTGTTATTTAATAACTTATTGTCTAATGTTTTTTAAAGCCATTATACTTAAGTACCCGTATATGAAATGAAATGTTATTACACACATTAAACAAAATAAACTAAAATAGATAAAAATAAAT